AGCATTAAAAATAGCCCCGTAGAGCTCCCAAGAGTTTATTTTTTATTATTACCTATTTATTTATTTATTTATTTTACCTTTCAAGTTCCCGAGGTTTGCACGTAAGTGCAGCAAACCCGAGCGGGATCGTCTCCCACAAACGCTCCGGCGGTTGTAAATCCCGAGCGGAGCAGGAGAGTGGAGAGAGTGCGTAATTGCCCCTGGAATTTGTTTTAAATTATATAATTAAAGGTTGTACCCCTAGTGAAATAATTCCCTTTTGTTAGGCCTTAAACGTGTTTTGGCATTTTCCTGCTTTTGTCTTTTTCTGGTTTTGTTAGGAGAATCAACATGAGGTGTTTAAACAATACGGTAAAACAGTCACTGCAATGTTCTGCACAGTCGGTCCAGGGTTTCTGGATGGGATAAAGAGCAGTGCCAGTGTGACTCGAGAGGGAATCTCTTTCTTCCAGCAAGTTGACTGACTGTTCAGTAGTCTTTGTGCTGTGTCTTAAAATACTTTCTTTAAACATTTGAAATCCAGGGGGAAATCCCTTGGGTTAGTATTAATCTGCATAACTCAGCTTTTTTGAACCTGGTAAAATAAGGGGGCACTTTTATTGCAATCCACAGCTACCGCTTCGCTTTCATTAAAAGAAAAGCGAAATACAGAATTAAACGTGTGTTATTCGGGTGAAACGGATTGTTGTGTTTTAAATGGCCTTGAGCAGATGAATGGGCCCGTTGGCTTGAGCCGGACAAAGAATCGGGACGTGTGTCCAATAACGCAGGGCACGAGATGGGGATTTCAAAGAATCCAGCCATTGTGCAGGGAGCCGGAGCAGCCCGAGCACCACAGTTCGGTTGGTTTCAGGAACTCTCTTCTACTCGGGTGGTGTTTTTAAGTGCTTTTGGCTGACTGGTGGGTCAGCTTTGAAGGGTCAGAACAATGTATAGCGATGTGACAGGACTTTCGTTCAAATAGAAGCGTTGTTGGATGTGTGGGACTGTTTTGCCTGTAGGTATTTCATTCATGAGCGCAGCATACTTCCTTTGAATCCTAGTTTGCGGATTTCAGAGAGGAGTAGAGGCAGAAGCTTGGCCATTCAACAAAATGGCTTTTTTTTTTTTTTTTTTTTCCTTGGCAAGGGCTCTCTGCCATCATGTCAGTTGCTATGGCTTCCTCTATGAAACAGAAATCTTACGGTATAAATAGATTTTGCACGTTTTAACCCTCATGAGAGACAACTTGCTTTAAAAGGTTCCTGTACAGGATCATGCAATGTTTCTTTTGATTATTGTCAGAAGTATTCATAGGCTTTTTGTTTGTGCATCTCACAAGTATTTACATAAACCATTTTTCTTATTTTTAAAGGAATCGTAATTTGAAGGTGGATCTCATGATTTCCCCCTACCTGCAGTCAAGTACGGTGGGAAATCAGCAAGAGATATTCTGTGTCTTGTGGTTTAAATGTTTTGAGAAGACTTGGCTTGTTAAATTGAACTTTACACACTAGCAATTCCTGCATCTTCAGAAGAGCCACATAGGCAATTTCCAAGTGTGCAGTTTCATTTGCATAATAGGAGCAATTTGTTGCCATCCACAGCTCTTCTGTGGAAATGCAGCCACTGAAGATTGAAATACCTTGCACCCAGCATTTAATAGAACAGAGTTTTCTGAGACTTGTGTGCTCAAAGCGCTCCGTGCCAAGGATGAGTAGAGAGGCAGACCGAGCTGTAAACTCTTCTGAGCGGATGGTGGCTCTGGTGCGTGCTGCCCGAAGCTTCATCAGTCTGTGAAGGTGTGCAGCAGCCTTGCTGTGCAATATTATCAAATGCCTGTACTGCCACATCTATGAATGTGCTTATTGGAAAGCAGTTTCCATCAGTGCAGACTTTGTTCCTTAGAAGATACGTATTCTTTATTAGACAGTGAGCCCTTTGATGCAGGTACCCTATCTTTGTGTGTGTTTGTAGAGCGCCTAGCACTTCTGGTGTTACTGGAACTTAGTAGTAAACAGTGAAGTTGTTACGTTTTTATCTTGAGATTAATGTAATCGTATCTCCTTTGTTTAAACCACTCTCATGAATGAGCATCTGTTTTAGAAAACACATAGCACGTGTCTTACAGAATACATGGGTGTGTTGTATTTGTGTAGCAAAAATGTTAAATTTCCATAATAGGGTAGTTCTACTTTTTTTTAACACTACTTACAATGTTTTCTTTCAGTCTATTTTAAAAAGTCCTCTGAGATAAATTCATCTCAATGAACTGTGAAAGGTAGAGGGTTGTTTTTTGTCTTTAAAGATTGATGGGTATGTGTAGATTCTAAATGGGCTCTCAAGAAGAGAGAGGCAAAAACTATTGTGCCCTCAGTAAGCGTTAGAAAAATAATGGAAACACTCTTGTTTCATAAAAGTCTGATTTATTAAATGAAAGAAAATGCAGACATTTACTAAAAGACAAGTAATGGGCAGGAGGCAAGCGTAAGGGTTAGGACGTCTTGGGAGGCAGTGAAATAATTTGCATGGGTACGTGGCACTGCTGAGCTTTTGGACAACTGTGCGAACATTTAAGGATGGAGCTATGGTGTGGCTGATGGAGATAGATACCCTGATGTAGAGAATGCACCAGGAATGAGGAAATCTCATTGTGTTGCCTTGTCTTTGAGTTGCAGTATCTTTGCAGAAGTCATTTGACCTTTTCCTGACCCATCAAAACCGTAATCAAGGAATTAGTGATAGCGCCTTATGAAGAAGAAGTGAACTTGGACAGCTGATGAAAGTACTTACAGAAAGTGCTAAATATTTTTTATGGCAGGGAATTGGCTGTAGAGCCAGACGTGACTTGGGATGTAGCTTAAAACAAAGCATGTTGTGAGGAGCGAAGTCACCACGGGCAGTGAGATCATGTTACCTGGTACCGATGGTTGGGATCGCTAGCTGTAGCTAGTTAGAGTGGAATTTCTAGACAATGCTGCTGTAGCTTTTCTGTTCACTGTCTCCATTCAGACTTGCTAAAATATTTTTGTGTGGTATGTAATGCTCCGAAATTGAGCTTCTGCAGGTTTTGCTGCTCGCGCTTCCTTCTTAAAAAAGGCTTTCACTCTGAAAAGTAGTTATGACAGAACTTCTTAATATGATGTCTTTGGAAAAGACTGTTCGCTACTACCAGATTGCCACCCTAGTTTAGTCCGGCTACATTGGCTGTGTTTGGTTTCCTGCTAAGATTATAGTTCATGTAGTGGCAGTTGAAGTAAAAATACGTGTATGTGCAGGAACTGTACTGAAGTACTGTAGTGGCCCAAACACGCTGTTATCATGCTTGAATTACAGTACGTTTTTTCTGGCTCATGATTATTTCTCTTTGAGCCAGTGTATGCTCTCTGACTTCAGTGGAAGTTGGATGTATGTTAAAGGTAGAGTTTTGTCATGCATAAGCCATGTTTCTCTTTACTGTAAGAAAAGGTGCTTGTTGCAACGTGGAACGTAGCAGAACTTGCTTAAAAACATGCTGGTCTGTGTAAGTTAAAGGGGACTCTCATAATGCACTATATTTAAACTCAGAGAGAAGGTGTCCTTAACATTAGTCTTTGTCCATTCGTGCTACATGGTATTTTATTGTATTTGCAGTGTGGTCAAGAAACACCATGTATATTTGCAGCTATTTCACGTTAGTCAGTAGACAAACATCTACATAGCAATAGGTGTGCTCTGAAAAGCAAGCCTATGTTTCAAAAAAATCTTTTTTTGTGCATCTTACAGCACTTTTTGTGTATAATAATGGCATTTTCTTTCCCATTCCCCTTTCTCCTTTGCTTGATCCCACAGGGAGGTCATAATTCTGTGATTTTCACCAAACTCTGTTGCAATGCAAGTGAGTGTGATGTGATAAATTCAGCATTATGACGTCACTTCGTGATCATCAACAGAAGATGGGGTATGTGGGAGCAAATCCTTGTGTAAATACAGATCACTATGATAAATGATAGTCACGGTAAAAAGCCAAACAAGTGTGAAAGCCTTTTCTTGAATGGTAATATATTGGCAGTAAAGGCTTTCTGTTTCTGTGCCATCAAATGTTTCTAGCACTCATTGCTGCTGCAGAAGCTGCCTTGACACTTTATGTATAAGTGTAATATACACTGTTGTGTTTGCTCACCGGTATATTACTTTTATACATGGAATTTGATATTCATCTTTGGAGCTTTAGTGTTAATATACAAAATACAAATATATTTAAGAGTCTTGGGCTATTTAGAAGGGGGAATTGAGTATATAATTATGTAAGTTCTAGGATATTAGTATGCCTCGGGCATAAGCACTAAAGAAGTGTTGATACTAATGCTTACCCTACGTATTCTTCGCTGTCCTTTAAATGCTGTGCAGATACGGTTCAGAATTTAAAAATGCTTTAACACAATTTCAGATAAATGTAAGGATTTGTTTCTGTTGCATTGATTAGTTTCTGAATTTACTATAACTAAAATATTTAAGATACTTTTCAGTATGGAAGATTAAAAGAAAAAAATAGTTTTGTATATATTTTAAGTTTTGCCATTTTCCAGTGTTGTTACTCTTGAGTCATTCATGGAGGAACAGGAGAGGTTTGAAACCCGAAAAAATGTATTTTTTTTAAAGCTGTGGAGTTTGTCAGCTAGACATGGACAAGTAAAGTTGATAATTGCCACATTTTTAGCCTGATTAACTTTTCAGGTTGAAAAGTTTTCCAATCCAGCAGTCAATATAGAGATCAACCTATGTAGTATAACAAGGGATGGTGCAATAAAAATATTGCGTAGCGATCGCTTAACAAAGGTGGAATAGAGTTAAGGGGGTGGAATTCTGGTCAGGGTCTCAGGATGAGTGGATTCAACAGCAGATCCATTTTACAGACAGGAAAACAGGTGGAGAAACTGCTGTAGGTTTCACAGCAGAATGGGCACAAGAGTTCATTAATTCCTCGTTCCTACTCTGGCATTCGGTCAGTGAGAATATTTTGTAGTTTGTGCAGCATTTAGCAAACTTACTGTTATGGGCAGCATCAGTAAATTGTCAATTCTAACTAAATGAAAAGGAAAGTCCCTGATCAGCAGGTTGGGATGGTGTCTTTGCACAAAAGATAAAGAATGAGTGTTCAGAGTAGAAGTGGTTTTGGGAGTTTGGGGGTTTTTTTGTTTGTTTGGTTTGGTTTTTGGTTTTTGTTTTGAAATGGAAAGGCAGTAAGTATTACAGATAATATTCGAAGCTTTATTTGCAATAAACATCTTAAATCCTGAAGTTATTTTACCCTGTTGATCTTAAATGTCTGAAAGTCATTATGTTTCTTTGTAAACAAATTTGTGTTTGTGCTGCCAATGATTTTATTAAGTTTTAGGGGAGGTTTTCTTTTTTCTTATTAATACTTTTATGGTCTTAAACCTTCAATACTGTAAATGCTTACACATGTAAAATATTTGAATAATAGCAGTGTGATGTTGGGTTTTCGTTTTAGCCGTAAGTGTTTGCAGGACTGGGATGTTGGTGTACTTCCATCACAAAATACCTTTATTCCCATTGTTGTCTGAATTACTGTGTATTGAATTCAGTAAAAAAATCCCTATAGCTGAGGGTTATCAAAACTTAAAGTGGTACTTAAGAAGCTCAAAAGAATTAAAATGTCAGGGCTAACTTTAATACTAGAAGGAAAAAGTTACTAATATAGGTTTCCTCCTGTGTTCTACAGTCTGTCCAGTGAAGATGCTGTGTGAGGCTGCTTTGAGATGCTAACAGGTATCTTGAACTTTTGGTTTTCCAGTGCAGCATCTCTAAGTAATATTTTGCTGTAGGAAAAGACTAAAATCTTGATTTTTTTTAAAGCATTTATTCACCTGTCCCCACACCCAAAACAAAACGCCAGCTGGTTTTATTTCCATAATTTCAAAGGTTTTCCGAAGTAGAAATAAGTTTGGTTTGTCTTGTATCCTTAAAAAAAAAAAATTATATCATGATCATCTCTTCATAATTAAGTATGTTCTCATTATTGACATGCCCTCATCTCCACTGTCATTTTTATCACATCTAGCAGTAGAGCTCCAAATTAGCATAAAATTGGGTTTTGACATACTTCAGCCATCTAGCGTACCAAAATGGATGTATCTAAACACATTGAGGAAAAACTGAGCTCCAGCAGTGGGAAAGAAATGAATCTGAAATAGTTTTATACTTTTAAGTAAAACATCCTTGTGGACAGATCCAAAAGTTATCAAATTGCCATATATAGCTTATTTATTTTTATTTTTAACAGGAAAGTGTCTCCTCTAAAGGGAGAACAAATAAGATTGGCTTTAGTAGCTAAAACAAATAGTCAGGAGCATGTTTGTGGCATTTGTACAATGTGGCTGCTTTTGATTCTGGAAGCCCTTTCTAAAAATGGAGCTATCCCATATATATTTGGAGTCACGTCCAGCTTCTCCCATCCTGCAAAGAACATTTTTTCTTTTTTTTTTTTTTTTTTAAATCTATAACTGGATCCCATATCTATTATTTAAACGTGTTTTTAAAAAAGAAAAATGCTTGAGATCTCATGCCAAATTAATTTCAGATGTTCCTGAATATTTAATAGAATTGGTCTTTGTTGTTAACTTTTAATCGATCCATTTGCAGAGCTATATTGCAAACCCAGGAACCAGCAGTGGTTATCTGTGACCTGAAAACTGATCACAGAATTGTGATGAAATTTCTCTGGCATTGTGGACCTTCCTTTAATATTTTGATGTAAAGAGCTCAAGGAATTCATCCCTTAACAAAGTGTTCAGCATCCTTTCCATCTCCGCACTCTGTGTCTGCGTGGCCCCCTAATGTAGTGACGCCCTCCAGCCAGATTTCCTTCACGATTTGTCAATGTCACGACTTCATGGCTGGCTGGCAGGGGTCTGCACAGAGTGCCGTAGGTTATGCTTCTTCCCTTTCTGATAGCCTTCTCAGCCTTTGCTGTCCAAGAGAGCTAGGCTCTCCAGAGTCTGAATTCTGCATCACGGCCCATATTGCTACCAATAAGGCTGTTGGTTCTAAGGCTAGAATTTCAGAGCTGTCTGACAGGAGTGTTGAGTGAATGTTAAATTGCTAGCAGCAAATTTCTACCCAAAAATAAACCTCAGATGGTCAAAATGCGTTTAGATTTCTAATACCATTAAACAGCTTCATGACAATCAAAACACACTGGTCTGTCTAAAACCTCTTCTGCTCTCTAGAAACTTGAAAATTGTAGGCATTAAATCTGCATTTTCAATAGCTGTTCTTCTTAACTGTATCTTTAATCCAGATCTTATTACTGCTACTGCAGTTACTCACCTAGTCAAGTAACAGCCCTGAGAAATCTGGAGGTTAGCAGTGCTCTAACAAGTTTGTGAAATGCAAAGAACAGTTTGCACAGTGCAGTACTAAAGGCGATGTAATAGAGATCATCCTACTTAATAGCCTATTTAAATCCTTGTCAACTTACGATAGTAGATCACTTTCTTTTGAATCCGAAGTTTAACTTTAACTTCTCCTGCATTGTAATTTTATAGGGAGAAGAAGTGGGTGACAGTTGGCGACACATCCCTAAGGATTTACAAATGGGTACCAGTAACAGAGCCTAAAGTTGATGATGTAAGTATCCTGCAGATGTCTTGCTTTTTTCAAGATGTAGACACTCATGTTTAGGGAAAGTTGAAAGAAATATGCTCGCTCTTCTTTGAGCCTTTAAGCTAAAACTGGTGTGGGTCTTGCAAGCATTTGAATAGAGGAGCTGTAGGCAAATGCTGATCTCTATGGAAAGTGATGTTGATGGTTCAGTGGGTGGCAGTCTTCCCGGAGCCAACTTGGATCAATTCTCAGATAACTGTTGAACATTCGGCTTGAAACTGATTTTTGAAACCTTTCTCTAACATAATAATTCGGAGGTGGGGAGGGAAAGCTAAGACATTGATTACTTTCCCCTCTTTCTGCCTGATGCTTTAAAAGAAATTAGCTGGTTTGGAACTGCAGAGAATGTATTCTATCTGTGCATCTCTGCTGTTTTGCTCAAAAATAGGTGCAAAACACTGAAATAAGGGTAGGAAAATCCTGTCGAACTGAGATCGCTTGTATTAAGATGTCTAGCCCAAGCAATGCAGCAGACATGCTTCTATTGTAATGTGTATTTTCTCTTGATAAATGTTTTGTGTATGCATCATGTTTATGTTCTTAGTGTGCACTGTTCATGTGCCATGATACAATCATGTGGCGTAAAAATAAGTGTAAAAATCAAAGCTGATAAGGCTTACAAATTGTTTTTCAAAATTAACATTGCTCTCATTTTATAAATTGAAATATTTTTATGGAGAGAAAACTAATCCATGGTACCACAGTAAATTAATCATACAATAGAATATGTATCCTAAGTTTGGTACTCCTTCCTTGGGCTGTCACGTGCTTTTACTTTATTTGAAATATGAGTTAAGACCTGTCTGGAAGAAAACGACTATGTTAATAAATGTGTAAAATCATGTTTTTTCAGACAAGACAGTGTCATGATCTTGTCTTACTCAAAGTCCAAAATCAAGACCTATTTTTGATTAGCATTTTTTTAACTGACTTTGTTTATTTCTGTACCTTTGGTTGTACCACAGATTTCTGTGACTGTCAGAGTTGTGGTAAGCCTCTTGTATTCTTCCAGTGCTTGAGCAGCATCTCTGTGAAGTAACCCCTTGTGAATTGGGAAACCTTTGCTGGTTTCTTTACAGAAACTTCTTCATTCTTTCTAGTTGTCAAATGTTTGGTCTTGATTTTAATCTTCATAATACATAGGGGGGAAAAGCTGTGCTATCTATGAGAGAGAGAGAGGAGAGAAAGAAAGGGAGAGAAAAAAAGGGGGAGATTGATATTTAGGATATTTAGGCTCACGGCTTCTGAAAATTGTTTTCCCACAGTTGAGGTATGCCTACATGATGGGTAGCATGGAACTTTGAAAAAGAATTTCTAGTGAGTTTCTGGATGAATTTTCAAGGTGACTGGTACCTAAAGTCAGATTCTCTGTTAAGAAGAATGGGTTTATATAACGGTTTCTATGTGCAGAGTTTAATTGTATTTTTTGAGCCATCATCTTTAGGTTTAGGCTCCAGATTTGCTGAAATGGGGACACTTGTTCAAGATCAGTTACTTCAGTGTCCTACGGTCACATTCTGTTCATTACAAGTAGAGGCTGTTGTGCAGCTGCAGTTGTTGCAGGCTTGATGTTGTAAGGTTTCTGTCTTTTTGCTCTGAAAGTTCTCACAATTAAAACAAGTGCATGTATTTTAAAAATAAATATCAGGTAGGGGTCATCTTGGCTATTTAATTTTGTTGTGGACATCCTTTTATATCCAGTTTCATCCACCTTTGAAGGAGCAGACAGTATACTTGCTTTTTACTAGAATAGGAGAATGGGATCTTCCTTACTGCTTCATGTTTCAAATGGAAGTTGTCTTTGATTTTAGTGAACACAGATTAGATTACTTCCCCCCCCTCACGTGTTGTTCCTAAGACACTTTGACATTTCTTTGAACTAGAATTAGCTAAGCTCTTTCCTCCTACTGGTTTTGGAAGGCTGTTGTAGAACCTCACCACTTTCATGGTTAAACCTTTTTAAATAAAACTTTTCAGCTTAAGTTGCTCGCAGTCATTTTTCAATATTTCTCTTGTGGCAAAAGTGTCCTTTTTACCTTTAAAAAAACCCCAACAAACCTGAGAGAGACTATGTCCCCTCTGAACTTCCATTTTGCAAAGGTAAAGAAGTCCATGTGCTTTCACTTCTGTTTCACATATTAGGAAATAAAATCTGCCTTCTCTGAAGGAAAAATACAATTTAAAAATAAGCCTAATAATCTATTTAAAATAGAGGGAAAAGTCCTTCCAGATATCACTTGTTGAATTTCTTCTGCAGTCTTAGACGATATTTGATTGTTGTTTTAGTTGCTTCCCTTCTTGGAGGATGCTGTCTTATCTGAATGGATGGGTTGCTGAGCGTTCTTCCTAGAGTCAGGCTTTTAATTGTCTTCTCAGCAGGCACGCAGGATCCTCCAAAAGCAATGCAGCTGGCTCTTTCTCCTATGAGACTGATTACGTCACCTCTTAATTGAAAATGCTGCATCCCTTAGCAGACGCAGATTTTCCACGTGATGGATGCCACTGTCTCTTCCTTTGTTTTAATGCTTGCAGTCCATACTGTTATTCGGTCATGAGCATGTTGTGACCTATTGTTCATGTAGGACTGTCTTGCTTAAGGTCTTTGTTTTAGGCCAATCTGATTCTTCTTAATCCATCTTTTAGTTTTAATGGAGAAACAGCATTAGTTGTAGAGGAGGAGGTCTCTGCAGTGTTGGTCATTGAGAAAGAGGTAAAAAGCTGTCTCTTCAGTGTTAAAATTCTAGATCTGTTATCATTCCTGTTGTGCATGCATGCGTATTGTCTAGGTGTATTCTACAAGCTTTCTGAAATGAAAGGGAGAATGTATTGAGTTTTGTAGCAGTGTGTTGATATGCATAAACTATATAGTGAGCAGAATTATGAGCTCAGAAATTGGGTAGTTTCATGAATCTTAGCCCTGCCTCTGATCAGTGATGTTCTTCCCTTTTCCTGGTGTAGCAGAGATTCTTTTGACCTTTCTTTTGTAGCTCTTTGGACTGAGTACAAAGTTAGCAGCCAGTACCTCCCAAGTTCTCTGACTCAGTTTCAGCAAGCCATTTAATCATTGTGCCTCAAATTCCCTGTTTGTAGAATGAGGGGTATTATTGAGAACTTTGGTACTTTTTGCAAAAATTGTGCAGCTGTTTGAAGATGGAAAACATGTTTAAGTGCTAACCTGTACTAGGATTTCTGGATAAAACCCTATATATCGTAGTGGTTTGTGTCGTGAAGAATACAATTAGAAAAACAGTCCTGCAGTTATTGGGATTAATGCATTATTGATAATGTCAGTTGTTATTATGTTTGCCTTATTTCTCACTTGAAATTAACAGAGGTGCTTACAGAAGTAATGAGTGGGAAGGGTTTTATATTGCAACATGGGTTTCTCTTCACGGTGATAGTCTCATTTGTTTGTGGCACCTTTTGTTTTTCAGAAAAATAAGAATAAGAAAAAAGGCAAAGATGAAAAATGTGGCTCTGAAGTGACCACTCCAGAGAACAGCTCCTCTCCAGGGATGATGGACATGCATGGTGAGTGGGAGAAGGTCAGCCCCGATTACCCTATTACACTGCTATAAAAGTATAACTTAACAGTGTCCAGTTCTCTGTTGCTCAGTGTATGGACAACACAATAGAGTCAAAGTGAAAACAGCGTCAGATACTCATTTGGTACCTTGGACTTCTCTTCTGTGGATGTACTAACAGTTGTTTAAATGCCATTTTTATTTGGGCTGTGTGTGTGGGAAAAAAATTGTTAGTGGAACTAAATACGAAAATAAAAATAGAAATATCTACCATTCAAAATACTACACTCAGGTGAAGTAGTAACTCTGTCGAATTTGCTGCCTGAAGAGCCAAAAGACCCCCAAAGCCTCAGTGGCACCTACTATAATTTGTGCAGGTTTTGTACTTTTTAAGTCTATAGGTGAGTCAGGTCAAAAGAATTCTCTAAGACCCAAGAAAGCAAGCTCTGGTTCTGTGGTGTCTTCCTTCTGCTTCAATTTGATGAAATTAACTGGTGAAGAAAACATTTTTTTGCTTGCCAGTCAGGCCCTATGAAGTAAATTTTTTCAATTTTAATTTTTTTTTTTTAAAGCATAAACTGTTGAGTGTTAACCTGGTAGTTATTACAGAGGAGCTTGCACAGCTCAGCTCTGTTTCAATTTTTTACCTTCTAGGTGTTTGGATAACAATTATGGCTGAGAATGCAGCACTATTTGAGCTGATAAGATCACATTTAGTGGGTTGCAAATTTTTCATTTCAGTTTTATTTGCATTTGTATTGCCTCCTGGTTGTTTTTTGCAGTGTTCACAGTGAGTATGGTCTTGCGATTGAAGGATTGAGCAGGATTTTCACAGATCTGGATTAATATTTCATCTGTTTCAAACTACTTAGCTTTTGCCTTGGTCAGGCCATTTAATTTTCTTAAGTCTTTTTTCTTCCATCCATGAGGTGAATATACTACTTCCTTTCTTATCATATGTCACTTGTGTTTTTAAGCCATACCGTACAATTTCATGATAAACTTAATCTGATCTGACTTCAAGCTGCTCTGAAAAGAGATGGTCCCATCACCAGCTATGTGTTTCTGAAGTCCTTTGGATGTAATGATTGTACAGATGCAGAAGGAGGTGGATCGACTTGCATGCTAGTAATTTAACGAATAATGTTTTGCTGGGTTAGTTTTCTTTACGGAGCGGGAGCTTCCCTTTTGGTTACCCATGGTTGTTAAACTGGCTTAGAGATTACAGGAAGTTGCACCCCACTGCTATCCATAAAGTGTTAGCTGAGGTACTTAAACCACTGTCATTGGTTTTCACAGGAAAAGGGTACAGGCAGAGTATTTCCTGTTAACTACAGAGACACGATCTGTGCAGCAGAAAGTTACCGTGGTCCAAGTTAGTGGAGGCTAGAGAATATTGTGGGCAATTATCACTTAGAAACTATTGATAATTGGGACTATACGTTACATTTTACCTTGACGGGGTTTTGTTGGGGTGGGGTTTTTTTGGTTTTTTGTTTTGTTTTTTTTTTTACCTTCAGGACACACTTCAAAAACTATTTGCTCACCTGAACATTGTAGTGATGGGTATTTGTAAATCTGCAGCATGAACATTTAATTAGCCTTGCGTTATATGAACTATAAAACGAGACTGTCGCTTCAGTTGATCTGTTTTACTCATACTACAGAATTCTGGTTTCTTTTGGAAGAGATCCGAGTAAAACACTCTTGGTTTTATTGTATACTATTAGTTAGAGCACCTTTTTTGATGTTTTCTGGTTTTTAGTAACTGCTAGAAAACTCCTGTATTATAACATAGGCTGCAAGAGCAAAAACTGGTGGTGTGGAAAAAAGTTAGTGTTAGTCTAGATGCTTGGACTTGATCCCAAACAAGCTAGACTATATCATGTGTTATCAGGGAATAATACAGGAAAAATATGGAAGAATTAAGGTGTGCTTTTTATCTCGTCAAATTAGACTTTCTCGTTTTTAACTCTTTTGTTAACAGATGACAATAGCAACCAGAGTTCAATAGCTGATGCTTCTCCAATAAAACAAGAAAACAGCAGTAATTCAAGTCCAGCACCAGAACAGAACTTGGCAACGCAAGCAGACGGCACTGAAGTAAAGTCTGATGAAACTCAGACAGAAGCAAAGGAGCAGCCTGGTTCAGAAGGTAAGCTGAAAAGACCATCTTCAAAGCCAAACAAAAAATGTTATCCTTTAGTGTATCATTTATTTGCTTATCCATTTTAAGAACTGAATAATAACAATTTGAAAGAAACGGTTCTGAATTCTCAGCCTTTATGTGAGAATAGGCCATAATCTCTCTGGCCTACCTGTGATCCTTCCACACAACTGGAAAGATGAGATTGACACTCAGGGTCTTTTCAGAGAAGAAACAAACAAAATACTTAGTTTATTGTTGCCATAACCTCAGTCTTGAAAGAAGAAATAGTTTAATATCATTTTTAAAATGGCTGCTACCATGTAATTGCACAAATCCTAGAAAGTAGGATTACTTTTGTAGATCTGTGAATGTTCGTTATCTAGTGTGAAAGTAAAATAGAGGTGACATACTTTGAAATTATTTTTTTAATTGTGTAAACTTTAATGTAAGCTTTCTTTTTTCTTAACCTTGCTAGTTATTTATCAAAAAGTTAGCTCTGAATTCTGTCCTAATTTTCTAAAAGTGTTACAATATTGTACTGCAGTTGTGCACAGATTAAAAATACATGTGGGTTAAGAGATTATTCTGAACCTCACTCTTAAATGGTATTTTGGGCAATTGAAACATGCTCTGTATTTATATTCTTGGGAAGATAACTTTCTTCATCCTATTATAACAGATAAAAGATGTCCTTAACACCATTCTAATAATTTGGTTGCAGAATTCTTCCCATAGCAAAGCAATTAAATTATGCCCTCCTGATGTAGTTCTTAGCTCAGTAGATCCACTAACCAATTTAAATTTAGAGCTTTTATCTTGGTAATACCAGAAAGGTTAAGTGTGTTAAATGTTGTCATTGCTAACTGGGGTTAAAATTTGACAACTGAATCGTCACCAAACTGAAATAAATCAGAAAGCCATATCCTTCAAAGAAAATCTCGACTAGCATATTTGGTCATGGTAAACGGTAAGAATTTACCTCTAGGTCTAATATTGTCTGAACCTGCTTGTGTGAAGCTGTTACATAGCATACACGCTCCCCTGACTAAATTTAGGTTCAGTTCTCTGGATTAGTTCCAGAGCCAGTTACTGTAAAATAAAAGGGAGAAGTAATGGCAAAAAATACCCGTTATTAATGCTTTTTTTTCTATTGGTTATATGCCATGTTTAAAAGTGTATTAAGTAATGGCAAAAAATACCCGTTATTAATATGTTTTTTTCTATTGGTTATACGCAGTGTGTTTAAAAAAAAAAAAAAAAAAAATTAAATAATTATTTATCTACTGAAGTGTTATGATCAGCCAAACCCTTGGAATTGTGACATTATTCAACTGGATAGGGTTAATGACCTTGTACGTCTATCTCATGTTACTACACTGAAATCAGGGAGGTTCCTTAAAGCTAGGGGCCAGTTTGGGTGGTTAGAAACACCTAACGTGGACTTCTCAAGTAAAACATTTTGCTGTGTGAACAAGTCATTGCAGGTATCAGAATAGCTTGGGGCTTGGCAATTTAAAATACGGATCCCCTTGCCCAAAGGCCAGCAGCAGCATGAGTGGTAGCTGTCAGTAGCAACTGGAAGAGAACACAGCAGCTATGAGCTGTCCATTGTGGAAGTTGCTCTTCAGTGTGTTTTTGTCATGGGGAGATGTGCACATCAGAGAGTGCTCCTTAGCTCAAGTTGCAATGTATGCTCAGACATACACAACAGAAATTGAAATTGAAATTCCTTCTGACCCTTGGGACTTGGGTTTTTATCAGTATGAACATGCTTTTCTGGTGAGACATGGAAAGGAGGACGATTCTGTCCCAAGTTTGCTGAATAAGATCTTTGAGACTGCTCATCATAGGTGTCGCTTTATGTCAAATTCAGTCAGAGAAACTTTCAGAAATGCTTGTGATGCTTTTTACACAGTACACCACAAAAATATCCATTACTCGGTGGTTATGTCATCTTCATTAACCAAAGTTGTCCAAAAAAATTTTTGATCTTGCATTTCTCTTCATCTAGAATAAATGTATGTGTTTCTTGGGTCAGGGACCTGTGGAGAGATGACTTCATAAAACTTGATTCCATGCATACTTCTGAGAATTCATAAAAGTCAAAAAGGATTTTGAAATGAGGTGAATGAAAGAATGGGTTCCAGTACTTACACTGTTCTTGATGTGGATACTGAAAGAAATATAACTGACCCTTTATAATCGAAGGGGTTTGGTTTTGGGTGGTTTGTTTTTGTTTTGGTTTGGTTTTTTGTTGAGTCTCTGCTTCTGGACATACTATGTTAAACTTCCAGGGATCTTTAACTGTAAAGACATTTTAAGTGCCCCTATCCCCTCTTCGAGTGAATGGGTGCTTTAACCCTGAGTCCTCTGTAAGTCCTGCTTTGAGAGAGAGAGAGAAGGGTTTAAAAAAAAAGAAAACAAGACAAAAAAAAAAAAAAAGAAAATTGGAAGCAGGTAAAAAGCTATAACAAGCTGGAAGATTTCTCCATAAGTATGCACCAGAATTAAAAATTCTACAACCTTAATGGTTAAGCTAGCTAGCTAGCTGAATTTTAAATTTTATCTTAAAATAGTATCAAGGAAAAAAAGTGGATTTTAAATATATGGTGGAATTTCAATTCGGATAACTTTATTCTCTGTTCTTAGCTACACAGTTTTAGATCCATTAGTTATTCAGCCCTTTTTGTAGCTGCCTTTTACTTCTGGTTTGAAGCAAGTTTCCTTGCGGTCAGTCCCTTTGTGAAGTTAATGTTGAAACTTGTTTGTTAATAGCATTGACGTCGTTTTGTGTTGCACGGTGTGCGGGAGCTTAGCTCCCTCTAGGGACTGATGCCAGCAGTTGTATACTGCCCGCAGTGTGGAGGCGAAGGTCTTCTGGCAGCAGCCAGCAGTTGTGGTCCCGGAGTTTGAGCTTAATTCATTATATTCATACAGTTGTTATGTATGTTATCGTTAATGGTTACCCGTGGGTGAAATTTATGTGTTTGGGATGTTGCTAATATGAAGACATCTTAAAAGCTCGTGCTGAATGCTTTCATTTGTTTGTTTAAAATTATTTCTTGAAATTTCAGATACCTCTGATGAACAGAATTCACAGTCTTCAATGGAGAATTCCATGAATAGTTCAGAGAAAGCAGAAATTCAGTCTTCTGGAGAAAACGATATAATTACAGAGGCGTCTAAAAACTCTCAGGTAACTTTAAGCGCAAAAGCCCCATTACTTGGAATTTGGAAAAGAGTATTTTTACCAAAAAGCAAATGTAAGAAGGCCGGTTGTGTATTTAGACTCATTTCCAAAGGTGAGGACAGTAAAGCAGCTTTAGAGTATTAAATGTATCTGGTTTTGTGATTAATTTGATTGGGTTCTTGCATTTCACATAATTTGAACAGCAAGACTAGATTGGTCTGATTTACTTTTCAGTTTCCTAAACCAGTCTGTGTTAGTTTTGTAAGGGAATATTAAAATTTCATGTTAATAAATTGCTCGGACCTGACCTACTGGACAGAACCCTTTGAGGACCATTCAGAAGTAAAATACCTTCTATAAAAGTAAATGCATATAGCAGTTAGGAAAGTTAATTTTTGTATATTCAGTGGATGAGATGTTTGGATGTTTACTCACTGGTATACTGAAAAATTCTGGGTGGGTGGGAGAAAGAAATGATCCTTGCAGTTGTCCTGCTCACACCGAGATCCTCAGGCAGAGCACTGCTCAGTCCATTGGTTTTCCTTGTGGGTGGGTGGTTTGTTTCAGTGCACACCTTACACTTTCCAAACCTTGCGTGTTCTGTCCTGTAGAGATTGCTTTGGCTATAGCAGGAGAAAATTCGTGTGCACTTGGTGTGGGTTGTGCTCGAGTATGGAGCTGAGGGAAGTCCAGGTATAACCATGCATTAAGGCTGTTGCTTGGAATATTCACTGTGGTTTTTAGCCTGGAACTAGAATTTTGCCCTTTGTCAGTACACGACAACAAGGGTAAAGACATTGAGGTAAGATGTGAGTAGAGGAATGATTTCAGGAAGCAAATGTACTTGGTCATGTCATTCTCATATCCAGGGATGCTTTGTATTTTACAAGTGACACACCAGGGAATTTGTTCATGCTTTTTTTTGGTGTTTATGGCGCGTGAAATTCAGCGCAGTGATAACGTGGTTGTTTTTCTTTCCCCCCTCATTAAGGACTCTGAAGGAGTGCCACCTTCTAAAAAGATGAAAGTAGAGGCTTCCCAACAAAATGTTGAAGAGATTTAGACTATAGATTTTTCTGGTCAGTTTTTATGTAAGGTACATCAGTGGGCTTAATTATAGAACAACCTTACTTAAGCATCTTCTCTTGGATGAGGACAGAACTCCTAACTTTTCAAGTTACCAAGCGAAAATCCAAGAAAGCCTAACAAAGGTTTAACTTCTCAGACACTGAAAACTTTTTCCTGTGAAACAAACATTGAGAACTTTTAAGTTACTGTCTCTGAAATGGTTGGAGTAAACAACTCAGGAGGGGTCTACGCACTGTTTCTAAAGTCAAAATTACAATTATGTTGCTGCTGTATTTTTTTTTTTTTTTTCATTTCTCTATTTAACATTGTAAGATATTTAAGGATGGTACAGGTCAGGTATTAGCTTTCATGTGAAGTTCATTGTTCTGGCGTGATGTCTGCTTTTGTTTTGTGCCTTGTGTTCTGAAAACAGTGCTAACTTTTAAAAGTTGTTTTGCAACTGTCTCCTTTGCGAAGTGGCCTATGTTTGTATAATGCCATGTAGTAAGGCTTTTTTTTTCTCTTTTTTTTTTTTGTTTGGGGTTTTTGTTTTGTTTTTAATTTTTAAATCCCTGGTGCTTAAATTTTTAACATACAGATCAGGAAGCCATTTTCACTCTTGGAGTCCAAGGAGAAAAAGGAGCTTGATATTTTATTTTAGCAGCTATAGTGGAGATCTTTTATTGAATGCATGGCATTCGCAACTGTAAATTTGGTCTTCTAAATACTTAACTTCATCAGAAGTTAACATGATCTGTTTACCATTTATAGTCCAGATCTGAATATATACTATAACACAGCAGTTAAAATACTTACGTATTAGGTCCGGATGTCTGTACTGGGTACAACTTGCTTTACAGAAAAGTTCCACTATGTACATAAATAGGATCAAAGGGATTGATGCACAGTGAATTTATTTTCAATTGGTCTTTTTTGATATCATGTTTTCACTGAACTGGATTTCATTGTACTGTTTCTTTATAAAATGTTTACTTCTATGTTCCACGTTAATACTGTATTTGGTATTTCTTTTTTTCTTTCAGCAAGTCTTGTAAATAAGCCTTGTTGTTTCCATAGTCCCTACATCGTTGTTAGAAATGTTCCTTCTTTTTCAATTATGTGGAAGTGTGCTTATTCTCAACTTGATTGAAAGGCACTAAGCATGTGCAACTCCCTTCAAATTCGCGGCATGTAGAAGTGCAGAACCATCTGCATCGGGTCACAAGGGCCTGATCTTACAGTGGGCTTTGTACTTCCAGGGTGAGCTCCCAGTTATAAATACCTGGCTTATTTCTCACTTCAGTACACACACGTGCGTGTACATCCGTATGTACGTACATACGTATTACTGGATTGGGCCCTTAGTCTGTCTTCACTTTGTGAGGGAGATGGAACTTGTAATTTAAAATATGATCTCACAGCTATGAAAATGGTTGCATATAGTTTGTAAGCTAAGAACTGTAAATACTTTTTTAAATGAAAAAAATTGCTTCCAGTTGATACATTTTCATAATTAGCTCTTCATTAAGCTTATTTATTTCTGAATTCTCCAATAGTGAAAATGGCTTGCACTTAGACTACTGCATTGCGTTTGCAATTACCACTTTATTATGAAAAACAATGGGGAGGTGGGGGGAGGGAATAGAGGGAGGGAGGAGTGGGGAGCCAATACTGACCTTCCATAAGATATTTGTAGGATTGAACTCCAAATAACGTATGACACTCAGTTTCGGAACTTTTCCTTTATGTTGAAATAAAACTTTTTGGATTTTAACTGAATAAAATTTGATTGCAAATCATTCATGAAAACAGTGTGCTCCCTAATAAGTTTTTGGGATTTCTGGTCTGATCATGAAGTCCACTAACATTCTGAAAATAAGGAAATGAGGAGCCAAAAACTATATTTGCACAATATATGCAATGAAACGGTAGAATTCTCTCTTGAATTGTGTGTATGCCTAAAATGTGGATAACTGGTCAATGACGATTGATTTGTATGTATATTGCATTCAGATTTAAGTGATATTTTGTGAGAAGTTCTATTGATATATTAAATGGGCAAATCTAGAAAGATTCAGACTTAAAAATATTTTTGATTTACTAACTTTTTGTTGTTTTTAATGCTAAAACAAAACAAATCTGATGCCACCTTTGACAAGTAGTCATGTTTACTAATCCCTATCTTCAGGTGCATCGCAGCAAGTTTTTAATTTTAATTTTGTAGACGTTTCCAAGGGAGTAAATAGACTTTTCATTTAGAAACTAATTCCTGTACTTTAGGAAGAAATAAAATATATAAATAGCACTAAAAATACCTCAAATTTTTCATTAGATAGAAGCATTTATTGGCATTATTGACATCAACAGATTTAATTACAAACTTCCTTTTCTCTCCTGTGGCTTCTGCTCAGAACTGTTCATTGTTCTGTGGCTTACAAGACAAGGCATCATAACCATATTCCTTAGAGGCTTTATTTCTAAAGTAGCAATGCTTTATTTACAGCTTATACAGAATACATTCAGAACTTTTTTTTTAACCAGATTCTAGTGACAACAGACAACTGAACAAGCAGATAGATTTGGGTTCCTTAGACCTGTTATTGTCAGTCTCTAAGGGAAGAGACTTTGACATTATCTGGTATGAAGAAATCCAAAATAGTGTATAAGACTGTTATTAGTCTTTTTTTGAAGTGCCTGATAACATTTATGGGCCAACGGATGTGATTAAACACATTTTAATGCCAGAAAGTACAGATGGGACCAAACCAGAACATCGAATTCAAATCGACCTGAGGTTTGAAACCAGATCTAAATCCAGCTTTTTTTGGCTTGGACCTATCTCTACCGGAAACTTGTTTTATGAACTCACTGTAAAAGGGTTTATTGAAAGCATTGAGACGTGGAGCAGAAGGAGAGATGTAATTTTCTTCAAGATGACTGAAAGTTCTCATACAGCTAATGTTTTAGAAATAGTGCAAATATCAAGAAGTGCTTCCTTGCTACAATGCTGAATGTTGGAGCTTCAGTTACAAATAAATACAAAAAAAAAGAAAGAAAAAAAAAAAAAGAAAAAAAGAAACTAGAAGCAAGCAAGTAAATTAGCTGAGTTTGTGGAACATGTGGGAAGGCCTTCCGAATAAGCGATTTACTCAGCCAAACATTTTATAGCAGAACTATTCCTTGGAATTTTTATGCTTGGGAAAGTAGTTGTTAAACATTCCAAAAAGTGCTGGCACTTACAAAACAACAAAAAATAATCAACAAGGCAGTATAAAATATTGGTTTTGGGTGGCGATCTTCATACATAAACATTGTCATGTTTTGGAATGTTCTTTATATCTAAGGGCCTGTTAGAAGGTGTAAAGAATTTTGTTTTCTTCAATACCTAATCGTTTTCCATCTTATGATTTGTGTGTGTGTGTGTTGTACAGCAGTATAATTTTTCACTTATTTATTCCATCGGTAGTTATGGTTTGTACAATGTACAATGGTTTCATTTCAAAAATAAAATAAAAAATCACAACATGAATGCTGTGTGAATAATTTTTATCAAGAAACTTAATCTCCTTTTGTTTTTTAAATTTACAATAAATTTCTGTTTTTATAAATGGTATTTTTAAATGTGCGTTCTATGGTGGTGTCTCATTTGGTAACGTGTAAAATGATTCACCTTTGAGTGGACCAAAGGTGTCTTGATATTGTAACAGGACACTGAGTGGGGCGGGGGCAGTTTGTTGTTGTAACAATAACAAGCAAATAGATACGGCCAATGTAATTACAACCTGCAGAATAACTTGGCAATTTAAGATGCTTACTGTTGGCTTGGTACTTGGCTAATGTGTTGTGGTAACTTAAATTGGAGGGAGGAGGGCATAGTGTGGAAACATGCTTCAGTTTGGAAACATGCTCGAGTCTGATGTTAGCAAGGGTAAAACTCCTTAAGGGTTTTGGAAAGATTCTTTACATTCAAGATGGATATAAAGTGTCCAGCTTATTTTTAGTCTTCTATGTGTTCTGTCCCAAAGTAGCCTGCAGTTTCACAGACAGCTGAATTGGTCTGCTGGCTCACCACTACCAGAAGGGCAAGCCACAGGCAGCTTGCCTGCTCCCAGCTTGGTTTTGTTGCCTCCCTTGCATGTACTGGGGTGCTCATAGCATCTTCTCATCAAACACTTAAATTCGCTAACCTGGGAAGAAAACTACCCATTTTAGTTAGGTTTTTTCCTTCTCTGGATTAGTGAATTAAATCAGCAGGCTTATATAAAGGAATTATATATAGGGTGGAACTGGAGAGAGAAAAGAACAGGTAGAAACAAGGATGTAATTCAAGACGGATCCCAGAAGGAAAGGCCTCTGAACAGGTAAGGCTTGTGCCAGTGAAGGGTGAAGGAGTGAGCAACAGCCTAGCCTAGAAGCAGGGTTCAGAGCTGGAGGTTGGCCCTGTGGTTTGCCTGGGAGCAGGACGGGCAGAGGAGCCAGCGGAGTGGTAACGGGATGGCTGGACTCCCAGCACCTGCGATCAGCCCCACAGTCTGAGGCTGTGAGTAAGATTCCTTGAGCTCTTGCGCCTCATCAAAATGGGAATGCTTATCTTCCTGTCTGTAGATTTAGGAGGATAAGCTCTTACCACTAAGTGTTGTGGAATATGCTGCAGGTATATTTTTAAACAGCTTGAATGTGTCTCTGTTCAGTGTGTATTACAGTTGAATTCTAAATCGGTAAATGTCTGTCTCCTCCTGTGCTAAAAGCCTGCCCTGTTCAAGGAACATCATCAGAAGATGGTGGCCTACCTTGCATTGCAGATTGCTGAAAAGAAACAGTAAGAAAAAGCATACTCAAAAGATGCTGCTGTGGCCCCTTAGTGTTTCCCTGTGCCTCCTGGAATTCCTTACTGTGGAGGAGGAGAGGATAGCCCGAAGTCTTCACCTGTACTGATCACCTAAATGCTGATCTGAAAAAGGTAAACCAAGAGATCTGTCTCCAAAATAGCTGGATTTATTTTAAGGGATGCATCTTTCCTTGCATCTGCGCTTTTTGCACTGAGGAGAAAACCCTGAACTGCATCAAATGTTAGTCATAGCTTAAGACTGCTACCCCTATTTTACATGATGGTTTGGTGTACTGCTAACTCTTCTTAGAAAATTGCATTGCTACCTAGCAACTTTAGTTTAATAAGTTACACCTCCTTGCACCCAGGAAGAAGCAAGTGGGGCTTGCTTATAAATTTCTAAGGTATAGGCT